TCGGTTCTGTCATGACAACTCATGGCTTTATGGAAAATTCAACTATCATTCCTTGCCGCACCTCAAACACGGTCTAGATTGTGCCCCAATTTCATATATTCTGAATAAAGTACCATTTGGAAACCTTGAAATTCGACATTTATTAGAAAGTATTGTCTCTTCAAATAGACGAATTATCACTCCTGGTGTGGCATTCAATCCATTAATGCATTCTCATCACCATCTTCAAAAAGTGCGGAATCCGGCAGGAGTTTGCTTAGAATACGAAACCATTTGGGCGGCAGGTCCAAGTGAAATTGAATGGCATCATAAGGCCTATTAATCAGGTTGTAGGAAAATTCCACTATCACTGGACCATACGAAGTATGTGACCTGTCCAAGCGTTCAAGATTGGGGTATAGCTTATGTGAAGTAGGATTAGAGGACACAGTTACATGTGCAGCAGCCCCGAAGCCGTGGCGCCTCTTCAAAACCGTACCGAAAATCGTCTCTTCTCGCCATGCCCGGGACTCGACGGTGGATTTTTCCCCTCTTGACCCTCCCATTCCCCATTTTGAGCTGTGCTCTTCCATGGCAGATCTGGCTCCGAAGTATTTGGCATTTCTCTCCCTTTACGAAATGTGACTTGATTTTAATGAATCTCTTGAGTTGGACACTTTCATTTGGTATTCAATTGAAGAGGAAGCGATTTGTATGTCAGTCTCATCGAAAGACAACGGCTGATTTCAGCTGTTCTCTGGTTTACGGATAAAATTGGATAAACTTTCGTCCATCTTGCCGCTTAATGGAAATCATCAGGGCTGGAACCCACTCTTTCAAACGATTCACACTAGCTCCAACTCAACATGACTATCCGGCCCTATCCTGCATGCTACTTTAACTTGAGTTTATTCTTGAGTGTAGCTACACACAAACATATGTTGGCACACGCACGAGTGCCCAGACATACGCGTATGAAAGAGAAGTAGTCTACAGCCGTCTATATGTATACATTTTTTTCCGCTTTTAGCCATGAGTACATGTAGTATGTGGAATGGGGCCGTATAGATTTCTCGACATTGTGGCAACTTGTGCCACAAGTGGCATGCAGGAGGAAAGGTGAGATTGACCTTTAAATCTCTTCAGCACGTAATGGCCTCCACGACAATGGAATCGCAAGAAATGCTTCTAGGTCCACTTACTTTTGGTAGAAAGAATCGCTATTAGTTACCGTGATGCCATACGAAAAGTGTTTCTCGTGGCAATAATCGACTTTTCAATAGGCTTGATCAACCAAGTACTCTTACACTCTCCCTCTCGCATCCTTCCGCTTCTGAGCTCCATGCCAACCTTTCAAGCCTCATTCAAAGTGTTCGAATGTATTTTTAATATTTGAGCATGACGAATATCGGATTCACGACCCAACAAGCCGATTTATTCACAGATTTTCGTCGCCCAATCCTTGAACCTCAATGAGGCGTATTATGACGCGAATTCCCCTCCTGCGATTACCTACAATCCATCTCGACTTTTGGTTGATTTGCCAAGCGCAAGATTGGGTTAAAATGAAATTTGCAAAATAAGTTTAGGCATTATTCATTTGGCACTGGTAAAGACTTGGGACAGCATTTTTCACTTGTCAAGAATCTCTTCCAACTCTGACGATGTCCTTCAAGTGACATGTCAAGAGGGAATTTCTCCTAAACCGCGTCAGCTTGAACATTGTGTTGAAGCCAAACAGCCCCAGAACAGTTAGAATCCGCCGTCGTCTTCCAATAACATCGACGCGTGAATCTCTTCATCACACCCAATTTTCACCATTATCATAATCACACCTTCATTCGAACTTCGACTCTCACTAAACACTTGGTCGTCAGGTGCAAATCTGGCCGACGTGTGTTTCTATGCTCTCTCGAACTACGTTCGCTTTTGCTGTCACTTTTCCGGGCCCACAGAGCAGCTGAGTCTTCAGTGAGTCGCTCAAGGGTTAGGTCCAACTCGTCTTCGGCGTTGACCCGTGACGAGTAGTCAGTCAATCCACCTGGAGACATTCATTTCTCGCCGCCTCCAACAGCATCGTCAGGGCGCCAATTTCGCATCAATCAAGCGAAACATTCCCCGTCCTCAATCAAATCACATGATACACACCCTCCCTCGCGCTGCGGACATGAAGGATCTGTCAGGTCTTTTGTGGGGACAATTGCATTCAGTTGACTCGGGTCGTCCAAACCTGAGGATCGCAGAGAGAGGGTGGCCAAATTGGCCGTCTCATATGAATTTCGAGGCTTGTCTTTACCTCACTCGTTCCACGGCACACCCACACACGATCAGCATGGGCCGAGGGTATCGCACAACTCTGGACAACCGAGGGGTCAGTTCACCTGAATTTCGGCTCCGCTAAATCTGGCGTTTGCTGCCAGGATAGCCCAAACGCACCGGCCTCTCTCTGTACCCCAGTCTCGTGTCGGCCGCTTGCTTGGCTCTGCTGAAGGCACAAGCCTCCCTTGACCATTCAGCTATACACAAACACACACACACACACACACACACACACACACACACACACACACACA